TACATGAAATAAAACAGCAGGCCTTCACAGCTATTAAAGATGGAATTTGTTCATTCGATGCTATTTCTTTTAAAAAAAAATAATTAGAAGTGGACAATTAGTTTTACTATAGTCAAATAATGGAACAGACACTTAAAATGCTTCTGAGGATGATTTTTTTCAATAAACACATAAACCACTTTGGGTGACAAACGACGTGCCTGTAACTTGTTCCTAATCTCAAGATATTTAAGCCTTGGCCAAGGCCTAAATAATTGAACCACCCAATTCCTACATAATTAAATATATAGATTCGTTGAATTATATTGATGTTGAAATATACTCGTATGCATTACAAACAAATTAAGAATTAATTCTATTTTACAACTATTACTATGATTATTTTTTTTTAGATCAATGTCTTATGCAAGGCAAACAAATTCTTCTCACCACTGAAGAAATTTCTTCATTTTTTTATTAATACACAAAAATATTTAAAATTGAATAATAAATCGTAAAGAATTTTGCGTTCAAGTAAATTTTCATGTCCTTAAACTTTTTTTGAAATAGATTGGCAATCAATAGCATTAAAAGAATTTTCTAATACATTCTTTCTGATAAAGCTTCAATCAATAAATCATTATCTTCTTCGAATAATTGGACACTATAAGGTAAAAGAGTGATGTTAATTTCATAAGATAACTTAATTCTTTACGTACAGTAAAAGTTAGATACTAATAGCAAATTTAGGTAATTTCATAAAAATTCCTTTTCTTCAATGAAAGTTTGTTAATAAAGATTTTTTTGGTTATATTCTGCAAGTTTAATTAGAAGCGCAACCTCTTTAATACCGGTAAATAAACAAGAGATTTCATGACATAATGATAAGTATTTAAATAAGTTTTTTTGTCAGTTATTCATTTTATGCTCTAAATAATATGTTAGCCAAAAGCCTTTAACTTTTACCTTAAATAATACTACCTGTCAGCTAAGCTTTTTCCTAAAGAGTACTATCATGCCCACCAAAAGAATTTTAAAACCTTCTGTCCAAAAAAATACTATTGTAGCAGCCAACAGAATTTTAAAAACCTATCATCCTTAGTGGTACTATTGCATCACTCACAAGAATTTTAGTTAGCAAAAAGAATTTTAAAACTTTAGCAAAAAGTATTCGTATCAGCATAAAACCTTTTTCAAATTATGCAAATGAATTTTCAAAATCTTACGCTTGTCAGAATATTAAAAAAAAAAAATAATAGTAATAATAAAAAAATACTATTGTAAAGTCAAGAGAATTTTAAGACCTTTGCACTCAATAATATGTACAATTACGTTAACCAAAATAATTTAAAAACCTTTTGTGCGAATGTACTATTACATCAACCAAGAGAATTTTAAATCTTTTTGCCTTAAATAGTACTATTGTACCAGTCACAAATAGTATTATCGTACCAGCCAACAGAATTTAACTCTTTTACCCCAAATAGAACTATTGCACAAACAAAAAATTCGCTCTAAAGTCATATCGTGACAATCAATAAGCTTTAAAATATTTCATTTAAACGTTTGAAAAAAAATAATAAATAAAAATGGTACTTTCGCCGATGTAACTTTAAAACCAGAGCTTAAATCATTTTGACAACATATTATAATTTAAAAATATTCTTACCGGTCTATAAGAAATCATGATTTTCATGTAGACTGGTGAGAATAACCTAGGAGAAAAAGCACGGGTTGTTACATAAGTACCAATAGAATAACATATTTATACATATTATTAAAGATACCGTACCTTTAAACACCAAAGGTAACATGTCCACATGTGGAACTAATTGTACTTACGGTGCAAATAATCTAGAAATTTCAATCACTTTAGATTAAGGGAGTTCTCAAGCGCTTAATCAATAGATCGGAGTAAAATTTTAAATTATTTGAATTGAATAACCAAACGAGTTACCATTTTGATTAGGGATGTTATCCTGCTTGCCAGAACTCTGTTCGACCCCTGTTTTGAGACCCAAACTGGATAAACTCGAGTTTCGGCGATCATGTGATTTTTATTATTTTAACTGATATGATAAAAGTTAATTACGATATTACTTTGATAGAAATTTTTTTTTTTAATTATTGCGGCATATGACGAAATTACACTTTTTTTCTTTTTTTTTAATATAAATAATCGATTTTTGTTTTCTTTTTAATACAAATATTTTTACTTCGTAAAATGGATGAAGAAAGCGCACCTGATTTATTAACCCACTGAACTTACCTCTTTGACTTCTCAAAATACACTTGAATACGAAGCACTTTCGGAAATAACCAACCACCCTCCAAAACGTATAAATCGGATCCCTTTTGGGATGAACTTAATAAAACCACCGATAAGCGACAATGCAAATATTGCAGTTCATTGGATACGGGCCTCCACTATTAAGTCACATTTTAAGCGTAATTATTTAGAGCGATATAATGAACTTATGGTAGCCACTAAGGCTAACGTTGAGCCTTTTAGTGGCGATAAGGTTTTAAAAATTAATCAATACCTCCAAAAATGGATTGTCACGGACTCCCCAAGAAATTACTTTAGAAAACATCGTAATGAAAAGTTAAATAATACTTTAATCCATTGGACTTCTGGAAAACACGATCAGCTGATGTACGTTACTCTGGACTCGCACGAATGGCGCATGACTATTTAGTTGTACAAGCCACTTCTGTACCTAGCGAAGAAATGTTTTCTAAAGCCAAAAATACGATTAATCCAATTCGTAACCGATTATCTGAAGAAAATACTACTGCAAGCCTTTGTGGTATGAATCAGGTATTATTGACTGTGTAGAAGGATAATAAATTAGGTATTATCGTTATTGTGTCGGTCAATAAATAACTAATAGCGATATGTATATTTTACGAATGTAAATTCATGTATTTGCTCTATTAAATAGTGATAACAAATCAGGTTTTATTAACTTGATTGAACAAGCATAATTATTGTCGCAGATCATAATGAAATCGGATTAAAATGAAATGAGGGGTTCTACTTGAGCCCCTAAAACCCACCTATACTTGTTTATTATAAAATCTGCTTCTAAACTAGGGTTGGGGCACGGGGGTGTGATTTCAATTTGTCACAGGGCACGTGGGAGTGATGCTAATCATCACATGGAAATTATTAATTACACCGTGATGTTTTACTAAATACTGACATGTGATGATTTAGGGGCCCCATGTGATGATTTTCCGTGCCCCCAACCCTATTCTAAACCCTAATCCTAACCCTAAAAAAATGCTAAAAAAACGCACCCAAAAATTTGTATTTTTCGGTGGCTTGTCTATTTTACACTGTCTCTCATTTCATTTTAATCTGATTTCATTTTAATCTGCCACAATTATTAGTATATTTTAATTTGTATAAACCGAGTTCGATAACCGGCTTCACGTATATGGTTCGAAACGAGTTTTTAAGCATAAATTAACCGGTTGGAACAGGATAACATCTCTAATTTTGATGAATAAAATCTGAAGGCGCAGGCTACTTTTTAATAGAGTTGCATTGATTAGTTAAATTTAGAATCCGCATTTCACACAATGAATTTTTAAAAAAATTATACTCCAGTTAACCGCATTTACCATTCAATCGCAATAATTTGAGCAACACTATATAATCATGTTGAGGGAGCTGATTGAGAACACTTAAAAGAAGTCCGATACTGCTTAATTTGATTCTTGGCGTATTATCTATCTGTAGATTAGAATTCTAGATTTTTCGCATTTATAACTTAGGAAATATTTGCCTAAATAGAGCAATTACTTAATATAGAATAAAAGATAACTAACGCATTGAAGTCATTGCATATCAATAGTGGAGCTTCAGTATACGTGTTCTATTAGGTCTGAAAAACTTAATTTAGTTCTTGGCATATTATCTATTTTCAGATTAAATTTCTAGATTTTTTGTACTTTGTTGAGATTTATAACTTAGGAAATATTTATCTATTTAGAGAGATTGAGTTTCTAAGCCGTACGTACAAAATAGAAATTTTTCTGAATGTTTATCATTACTAAATTTTTGACTTTGTAAATTATGTCATATACCTGATTTATAAGTAAATTTTTTGTTTTGCTAAATTAATACAAATGAGCGGATATTCACTTGTGATATATAAACAATGGACTCGGAATAAAGTGTCCGATAGAATATTATAGTTTTCAATGTAAAGGCACATTCTCGAGACTAAATATATATATAGACTTTTTCTTCACCTTGTTCGATCTTTAAAAGATTTTCTTGACTCTCTCATATATTAAGGTACTTATTCAACATTTTTGATTCCTCGAAATTACTCATCAATTATTGTCGCAGCTGATGCTGAAAACGGCTGATGCTGAAATTCGGATCTATTTTGATATGAATTTTTTAAAATTTTTTGGGGTGTTTTTTCCCGCTTTTTTTTTATAGTTGAGTTAGTGTTTAGGGTTAGACTTGATAATTAACAAGTATATGTGGATTTTAGCAGGGCTTATATTTTTAAATCGAGATCCCAAATTTCAGCTTCAGCCGTTTTCAGCATCAGCTGCGACAATTATTTATATTTAAATGGGTACCTTTTCTTTTCATAAATCCAATGTTCGAAAATTCAATCGATATTTTATTTCATGTCTTATTATTATCACTATTATTTGGACAAAATATACTTTTTTTGATGGAAATGTGAAAAATGTGATAAACGATAAAAAAGGATACGATTCAAATTTTATTAAATATCGTCTTCAGGATATAGAAAGTAAAATTAAACCACGACAAGCTCCAATTAAATTCAAATCATACATTTACCCATTTGGTATAAATGAAAAATTAACAACACCGCCATTAACTATTAAGTCAATAAGAAAACTTAGAGATGATGAACATAAATTGGTTAATTATGAAGAAAATTCAGCATATGAAGTAGAAGTAGAAGAGGAAATTGAGTATGAAAATGGCATTTCTCATTTAATTTGGTTTTATGCTAACGCAGATTATGAGGATAAAAGACCTCCTACGTTTATCCGAAACACTCCTATAGTATATTACCTCCTTATCAATTTAGGAAAAAAAGTTGAGATACCTTTACTAAATAAAGTGTTGGTAAATAATCACACAACTTATTCAATAAAAGGTACTAAAGACGTTTTGCAAACTATCAAAAATGGAGAATCCAATCCTGATTTGGTGGAACAAGCGCAAAGAATTGCGAATAGATTTGAATCATTTCTTTATCCATTTGGTATAAATGATAACCTAAAAACACCACCATTGACTATTAACTTAATAAGGAAACTTAAAGATGATGAACATAAATTGGTTAATTATAAAGAAAATTCACCATACGAAGTAAAAGTAGAAGAAGAAATTGAGTATGAAAATGGAGTTTCTCATTTAATTTGGTTTTTTGCTAACGCAGACTATGAAGATAAAAGACCTCCTACGTTTATCCCAAATACTCCTATAGTATATTATTCCCTTAGCAACTTAGGAAAAAAAGTTGAGATACCTTTACTAAACAAAGTGTTGGTAAATAATCACACAACTTATTCAATAAAAGGTACTGAAGATGTTTTGCAAACTATTGAAGATGGAAAATCTAATCCTGACTTGGTGAAAAAGGCGCAAGAAATCGAAAATGAATAAACACTACATAAAAGTAAATTATCTTTCAATAAAAAAAATTCAATGTGTAGTAACTTATTTCAATATACTTTTTTTATCAATTTCAAACTTATTACGTTATACATAATTATTTAAATTTCTAGTATATTCTGTATTATTAGTGTTAATTACATATTTTAACAAATATAAATAAATCTCTTGAATCACTCTGAAATTATTTGATTTTTTTTGGAAAATCGACTCTATTTTAAACTTTACAGGAAGTTTGTTGGATGTTATAAACTTTTTATACAATAATCTTTCAATCAAAAAAATCTCTATTCTTATGCCTCATATAGCGTTGCCAATTTAATTAAATGTTTTAACCTATAAAATGTAACACGAAACTTTATTATTTACAGTAGAGGTCAGATGCGAATACCCGGAAAAACTTATTTACTGTAAGGGACATGAATACCCGGTGTGATGACATAGTGAAAAATTAAAAATCACGTGTATTACACAATTGTTATATTACATGCATACATAAATACGTATCATTTTAAAAAATTGATCTACATTATTTGCCACGCCAGGTACTCGTGTCCGATGTAACGGTCTGAGGAGAGACTTCTAGTTCTGGTTGCCAAATTTAGCCTTGGACTATAGACATACAAAGATAATCGTATATGTCGGGTATGATGCATGATAATTAAGGATTACTTGTTTTAGACTTCTATGGTTTGTTTTATTATTACTTTATTTTTAGAATGAAAGTGTTGGGCACTTATTACATGATATATATGTGTATATGTATATCCCCCTTTTACCCTTCAGTGAGAATTGTTCCTTAAATACTTTCTTTTCCCTTAACCTGTGAACGATTAATTCGCAATTATGAAGTAATTCATTGTGAAAATTCAGTAATAATAAAAATGAAAGAAGAAATACGTAAGATCCGATAGAAATCAGAAAAATGAAGTAATCGTTCATAGAAAAATGTAGTAATCAAAATGTAATCGCCGAGTAGAGGTGACGTAGGATAACAAAATTTTTCCGTGACACTGACTTTTATGAATTTTCACATGGAAAGATTTTTACTGCGTATAAGCATTGTGACCAACGAAATATATATAATAATACGTCAAGAAAGTTTAATTTTGATTTTGTTCGGTCTCTTAACCAAACGAGTTCTTGCAAGCGGATTCTTAAAATGCTACTTCAGCCGCGAAGCTTGACGTTGCTTACCATTTAACTTATTAAACCAGGTGCCAATCATTACCTTTACTGCAGCATGAACGATAATAAAGAGAAAAATAGCTTTTCACACTGAACAATTTTAAACCTTTGTCACTTTGTTAAAAACTTTTCATTACAATTTTACTTATTTATTTATTTATTTTTAAAAGTAATTGACAAGAAATTCGCACATGAGATTATCTATATGTATTTCCGGTGTCACTATTGTCACTATTGGTTTTTGGGAGAGCATCGTGTGTAGACACCAATAATGAACTGGGAGGTGTAGGGTTTCAGGTCATGGTCACCTTTTATGAGAAACTTTTGGAATCAGGCAAGAATAGACATTTAAAACAAATGGAATTTAGAAGGGCAGTTTATGAATTAGAGATGACAGTAACACCGGTGACGAAGTTGCATGTGAAAAAATCAAATCTGCACTCACGCCTTTATACGTACAATGCAAGATTTTGTGAAGTAACTCATTCAATTGCCGTATAACCATATACTTCGTGATACTCATCACTTCCTTCCTGATACGTACAACTCATACTATTAACTTATGTATAGTTTAACAAACAAAATGTATAATAATAAAAATTGTTAAAACTGTACTAAATCCAATCCAGTTTAGCTTAATATCAACCAATTTTCGATAATTAGTTCCACTCTCTATAAAAAATATTTGTCACGAATATTTCCGTTGCCTCCGCAAAACTTCCATTTTTTATAGGGCTACAGATTAAAAACCTCAAAACACTTACACATAAAATCTAATTTCAAATCAAAATTAGACCAATATACATCATATCTCTGGGACACCTTTAAAAAAAACGTACTCTTACCCTGATATAGGGCTTCACCCTAACCCTAATAAACCCAATATTGAAATTATAATCTGACAAAATTTCAATATGACGTAAAACATATATATCAAGAAATAGCTAAAAAGATCTCCAGGTTGTTTTTATGATTATTAATAATTATCCGTACACCGTAGCCGATGTGCGATTTGATTTGCCATGCTATTTTTAGAATATGCTTGCAGGCGTCATGGCTCCTGTAATTAACAAATTTATATAAAAAAATATAACTAAATGCTCCGTTTAATTCTAAGCAAGTTTTCTAGAGATTAAAATCGGTTAGCAAAATTTTTTAGAATTTTAATCAATGTCTCATGACAACACTGCCACACAGTAAGCATAATAATTGATACAGTATACCTATTTTGGATCAAGGAACTTGTTCACCGGTTTTTTATGGGAATAAATCTAAAAATTATTTAAGGAAATAAAATCTTAATTAACACTTGAGTTAGCATACGATAATACTGTAATTTGAGAAAAAAAATAAAATGATTGAACTCTTCTTAGAAAATATTTATATTCAATCATTTATTATAGGATTAATTTTAGCAGCAGTTTTCTTCAAACTATCGAGGCGGACCAAACTAGCAAGTTTTTTTGTTACATTAATATTTATTCACAATTATATTATGTTGTTAATATAAAAATGTTAACTTTCTTAGAATGAACCACCTCTTGCTTATTATCGATTTCCAATTATCGGACACACATGGAGCTTTTTAACGGATTGTAAAAAGTTGATTTCAGAATCACGAGAAAAGGTTTTTATTTCTTTTTGAGTAAAATAAATGAAATAAAATAAATATTTCTTCAATAATTTATGATCTCTTAATAGTATGGAGAGACATTTTCATTATATGTCTTTGGCCAAATAATTACCATAGTTGGAAAGGAAACGTCACATGAAGTATTAAAAAAAGATCAAGAATTTAGTTTTCGTGAAGGCTTTAAAATGGTAATTAAAAAATCTTTAACGAATACAATAATTAGATTATTATTTTAAATTATTTTTCAATTTTAAAAATAGCAAGTGCCGACACATCTTATCTTTAAGAACAGTGTGAATGCTGAGAGAAATAATAAAATAATAAGAGATTATATCACTGGAAAATTAAAATATCTTATAAGTAGGCTACAAAAAAATATTGTTGAAGCTATAGATCTTCATATAGGTGAATGTGTTGGTAAGTTTTTAAACCTTTACTTATAAGTTTCTCATATGATATTTTAAAGAAAATTTATTTATTGTTAGAACCGAAGGTTATTAGTAACCCGCATAAAACTTTATCTGATATTATTGCAATTCCAGCTGCTAACATTATTGTTGGCGAAGTAGGTATATGCATGGTTTTTTTTGTAAAAATTTCTTATAATTAACTATTCTTATAATAAAAATTAACAAAAATTAGGAATGTTACATGCATAAGGATATATTAGAAGCTTTTAAAGGCATTACACTTACAATTATGACACTTTTATTGATACCACCAATATTATCTTTTATACATCCCAGGCTTCATCAACAATTTGCCACGTAAGTTTATTTGAAAAAAAATCTTAAAATCATTTAGAATTCAAATTATTTCACAAAGAAAATAATCTTAAATTATTTATTTCTTGATTATCTAATAGGATTCCTTTCAAGTTTGGTTGGAATCCGATTTCAAAACATAGAAATACAATCCTTAGTCATATTAAGCCGGTCATCAAAAAACGCCTTTATGATAAAAGGAGACTAGGTGATGCGTGGGTTGCTCCAGTAAGTTATCTATATAAATATATTTATATTACGTGAATACTTAAATTATTTAATTGTTTTCTTCAATTTAAAAAAAAAATAGGTAGATGCACTACAATGCTTCTTAGATGATCCCGAAATAACACCCGATCCCGATATAAATAATGTAAACTATAATTATATTGCTGATGCGATCGGTATTTTTATTGTTGCTGCATTGGGAACTACAACTAATGGTGCTACTCGAGCTTTATACGGTTTGTCATATTCTATTTTTATTATAAAATATTTTTTAGTTCTATGTTACTTATATTTTATTTGAATTTTAGACTTGGTAGAAAGAAAACAACAATATTGGCAGGAGTTGTATCAAGAAGCTCAGGAAATTAATAAACAATGTAATGGAAATGAGCTTACATCTGACGATATTGCCAGAATGGTGAAGTTGGATAGTTTTGTTAAAGAATCTTTAAGATTATCTAGTGGGATAATTGGTTTGCAGCACAAATGTCTTTCTAAGTCTTATTATACATTTGCGAATGGATATCAAGTTCCAAGTGGTAATTTTCTTTTTCTTGATTTCCATATCTTAATTTACAAACCATAACAATTCTCACTCCTTTTTCTAATTATTTAAAATTATAGGCCGCATAGTCCATTTAAACCTTGGTGACACAAATAATAATGAGGAACTTCAAGGTCAAAATCCCACAGAATTCTATGCATACCGTCATCTGGAACGTAATTCTCCTGCGCATAAAATCGAACGTAATTTTTTGATATTTGGAGGCGGAAAACATGCGTGTCCGGGTAGATCTTTAGCTGTCAATGAGATTAAAGTATTTTTACATAAAATTATGTTAAAGTATGACATTAAAGCAGATACAAAGGGGATTAAACATATAACTTTGGGACCTTTCCCTTCACTGGTGAAAGGTGGTATCGTGTTTGAAAATAGAAAGGAAATTAAGAGTTAGGACATTCTATTATAATAATTGTTGATATTTCAATATTATTCTTTTGATTTTTTTCACACAGTCAGTATTTTTTATATGAATAACATCCTTCTTTTTCATAAATTAATACTTATTGTAAATTTTTTATTATCTAAACTATAATACAGTTGACTCTCATTAATATCAATCTATTTGGATCGCTTTTAAATTCATGTTGGTAGTGATATTAATGAGAAATCATAT